GTATTTACGAGTCGGATCTACTACTGCCGCTCTCGCTCTCGTGCAAAGTGCTCCATTATGCATGCAAAATGTAAATGTGCAAACACATACACTTACCTCGCTGCTGCTTATCGTCTAAGTGTGAGAATGATTTTTGAGTGCCTCCGATTTAATCGTGCTTCTTGCGCGAAACCTAAACTCCTTCGGTTTTGTCGACATTCATTTGCACGGCGTAGCACTCTCTGGCAAGGTCGTTGCACTGTCAAATATGAGGACCGTCGTGTAAGCGGCGCGTAACGGCTGTTTCCTTCTTTCTTTCTTTCTCTCTTTCGCCGAAAATGCACGAGAAATTATCGACAGGATAATTTTTTTTCCGCCGATAAAGATATCAGAAATTCATTTTCTTTTCTTACTGGCAGGGGAATAACTTCGTTTGATGATAGTAAAATCGATCTGAATTGCAAATTCTTATCCGCGCCAGGAGATAAGTTGAATTCTCGTTCACACTTGGGATTGAGAATTTTCGCGTCGCCACCTCGTGGAATTTGGACTTGAAGAATTAATTCCATGAGAGATACGGAAGAGAAAGACTCGTTTTATGACTTTATTAGTAAGAAAATGTGGTCATTTTTCGTATTATCGCTTGCAAATCTTGGTCGATGTTCGAGTATCGGTAAGCACAAACTTGTATAGACGTCGAAATTGTGAGGAATTTGAAGTACTTGCAAAAAATATTAGCCGGTAGTTAATGAGTTGATTGAAAGCGAGCTTCCTTATTTCAGCCGAGCCACTTTCTTTGTTCGAGTAGCATTAACCCCGTGCAAATAAATTACAGTCTCGGCATCTGAATTTCGCCGAGAGATGTGGGAAATTTTCCAATGCTCGCAGGCCAAACTTATTAAAATCCCAAAACTCTCAGCGAAACATTAGAATTATTATCCGATTAGGATCTATATGCAAAATCATAATTCATCATCCGCGCGCGAAACATAATCCGCACGTTTTTGATACAACATTACGTGACTTACGAAGCCGAAGAAAACGAAGGCTACTTGCATTACACGCGTCAGGCCGGCGCAGCGCTTTACATAAGTACGCCTCTTTCGGAATATGGCCCAGCGTACTGCCTTTTTTCATTCTCTGCTTCGCCGCTCGAACATCTAAAATGTTTACGGGCCAAGTCCAACATTACGTTTCCGCTTACACAACGTCTCATTTGTGCATAAGCCCACGGAGAGAAAATGACAAGCCGTGACTGGAGGGAAGGAGCCCCGATGCCTTGCGCATGGAAATCGGTTTTTATTTTCGAGGATTTAATCACGACTTGCGCCGCGCGCAGCGATTCGAATGTACGAGGTGTGCTCTCGGTTGATTCTTATACGTGCTTATTGGATAATCACTCGGGATCTGGATGCAAACAATTCATCAATCCGGTAATTATCCTAAGAATGACGTACGGACGGAAATGGATCGTGAAAGAAAAGTCGCTTCGGTCGTTCGCACTTGTATCAAGGCTGAATCTTGGCCGTTTCTCTCGCGCACAAAGAAAAGAAAGAGTGATAAAACTCGAAATGTGAATACGCCCCGGGCGGGGGAGGGGGCGGCCGTTAGCCTCGCATAAACCACCGCGTCGCGCGGCGAAAAAAGGGCCAGCCTGAAAGTTTATTCAAATGCAAATTCGCGCCCGCGCGCACTCCACTTTCTCTCCGCGAGAGCCTCTCTTCCCAGGCGCTAGATCATAACCCGCATACGTGCATTAATTGGCTCTCTCCTCTCCCCGTTAGATCCGCCCGATACGCTCCGCGGATAAACCATCTGGAACCCTCTCCCGGGCGGCGTTCTGTGTAACAATGATCGCGCGCGAGAGAGCGATTAACCCCGTCGTCTCGTTATAACTCCGGGCACAAGGTGTTCAGGAAGTATCTCACGGCGAAAATTGCGCGACAAGATTTACTTGCGCGAGGCTTTTAAAACCCGATGGAATTACGAGCTTGACTTTTGGCGGTTGAGTGTGTGCAGCCATAGTGCTTTTTTATCGTCGTCGTGGTAGGGATTTATTGACCGATTTTGATAATGGATTTTATGTAAGATCTGCTCTGATGGATATGGCGAAGAGTACAGTAATCGTTGGCCGATTTTATCTCAAATTTAGGGGTATTACTGATTTTTATTATAAGGGCCTCGTGTGGAAGAATGTTGCGAGATCAATCTCGTGGGCGATGTTGTTACGTGTTTTTCATCGGTTGTGATTTTGCAAAAAATAAAGAAAATGCGTATTACGAGTCGACGTTAAATTATTGGAGTTAGCGTTAATTCTCATTAATTTGGAAGGCTTCAGCCGTAGATGGCTTTGAAGATTTCCGACTTTCTTCAAGAACAATCGTTCTCACATCGTACACTTTTACAATCATCAACGACCGATTTTCATTGGCATTCTTCTCCTTCGGTCTTGTCAGATTTATCGAAAATTAATCATGAACGTGGAAAAATAAAGCAAAGCATCGTAAACCGGCCACAATCGAATAAATTAACATTAACAGCAAGGTACAACTCGATTTAAGTAACTGCGCGAATAAAATGAATATTATATAATAGCCATTAGCGCGTATTTGACGATCGCACTCGCGCAATAAAAATCAAGTAGTCATTAAGCAACCAAGGCAATTAATTAAGGATTCAATTCGAAAAGGATAGAGCTGAATTACAAGAAAAGCACCTTGGCGGTGCTTTGCCGAATGGCCGAGGAGGCATAAATGTGCGTAAAGGCGAAAATTTGCACTGTACATAGAGCGCGCGGGTTTTTTTACACCTCGCCTCGCTCGCGAGCATCCGCAGTCAACGAACCCCGGCAGCGGCATTAATTGCACGCTATACGCTCTCGCGATGCGATCTCTTTTCCCGCGCGGGGGATTACGGCGGGGCTGGACTGCTTTCCTCGAAAGAGAGCCGCGTATCGTTTAATGGATACACAAAAGCCCATCTCGTTCATTGCCAAGCACGAGTTTATGGCCGGCGCCCGCCGCGCGCCGGCGCTCGCTGTCGTTTTCATTCAGCCCGGCCGCTTGGTCGCGAAAAACCGCGAGCGCCCGCGAGAGATCGCCGAGTCGCCGAACACCGGCCGATCAAGCCGCGTCGTTAATGGAAAGCGAGGCGGACGGAGAGCGGCGGCCACTAAAAACGATAATTGAGCCGGCGCATTAACCG